GGTAGAGGCACCTGAGTGGCTCAGTCAGTTAAACGTGGGACTCTTGATTTCGGCTCACGTCATGATCTCAGGGTTGTAAGATCGAGTCCTGCATGGAGCTCCACACTGGGCGTGGAGCCTGCTTAAGACCCTCTCTCTCCCTCTCCCTCTCTCTAAAACAAACAAACAAAAAAACTTTTGTGTTAACATCTGAAATAAAACCTTAATTTTAAAAACTTATTATGAAAAAGTTCAAACATAAACAGAAAAGAACAGTACAAATTAACCCATACCATTCTCATGTACCACCACTCAGCTTCACCAACGATCAATCATGACGAATACTGCTTTATCTATATACCCCTACCTTCTGTTTTCTCTAGATACCAAGTCATTTCATCTCTAAATGTTTCAGAAAAACCTTATAATTCTGGCTGAACGGTGACAGAATTTGGGGGGGTTGTGTTTTATTTCTCATTGCCTCTTATTTTCAATACCTATGTCACTGAAAGAGAGAAAGCTGGTGTTTATTGAAAGCAAGGAGAAGAAAACTTAGGTTTTTCAGTTTTTCTGGCATATCTAGTGCTTAAATACAGTTGTAAACTTTTCTCCTCCCTCCAGTGAAGGAAGAGACATGGCTGGCAAGATAGAGTTATTCGGGGGCAGCCCCCTGGCCCCTATCCCCAGCTGCTCCCACCTCCTAGGCTCTGGCCTGCTCAGCCTGCTCCTTTACAAGGATGCTAAGACTTCCAGCGAGCCTGGGCCAAGCCCCAAACACAACTGTGATCCCAAGCTCCAGCAAGAAATGGTCCTCAAGCCAAAAAAAGAGAGAGAGAGAGAGAGAGATAGTCATTCAGTTTAACAAACATTAACTGAGCACTAGGGATAGGATGAGGTAAAATGAATAAGCCAAAGATCCCTTCTCTAGAATGAGTGAGACACACATAAACAGATAATGTCGATAAAATGTGGGAAAGCTAGAATAATGATATCCACAGGGTACTATGGGAACAGAATAAGGGCACTCAGACCAAATTAGGTATTCAAAGGCTTCCAGGAAGAGAGATCTAAATGCAAAAATACTGCAAATGATTGTTACTATGTTATTATAATAAGTCCAATATGAAGTTTCTTTTAAACAGATTTCCTTCATTTAGTTGGTTAGGGAACTGGGTGGTAGGGGTTGGGAGGGGGAATTCATCAAAGAATATTAGGAAGAAAGCAAAACACCAAGAATTCAAAAATAACCACTATATAATATCTTGTGAGGAATACCACAGGGAAAAGGGCTTGGTCTCTAGCCTCAAGAAAGTAGGAACCTAAGTGGGAAGAAATTAAACATGCATCAGAAAACCTTATTATAGAATATTCAATCAAAATACAGAGTTTAGGGATGGGAAGAGTGAACTAAAATATTTGGGTAAGAGCTGGGACTTAAACCAACATTTCGAATATAAATTTACCCCAGATCAGAAAGGGAAGCTAATCGAGTAAGTAATAATAAAATGAGTCTTAAGTGGTCAAGGAGGCTTTGTCTTTAAAAAGTATTTCTTCATTCTGTCCATCTCTGAATTGATTGAAGCAGGCAGGGGAAGGTCTTTTATCTAAACCTCAGTTTCCAAAGAGTTGTCTGTACACATTTACATGTGTGTCACGTATGTTAGTGTCAGAACATGATGGTTTGATTTGAGCATTTGCAATTGGACTCTAAGCTATTCCATTGGAATAATACACAATGTCAAGTGCATGCAAAGATCTACTCTGGCAGGTATCTGATTCTTGGGGAGAAAGTACAAACTAAAATCCATAAAAATGAAAGTTGTAAAAGATACATAAGAAAATTCAATCAACATTACAAAATTAAAAAAATATTTTCCAATTGTCATCTGAGATCAGTGCCTCACGACTTATAATTCTAACTTTAATAGCAATGACAGCATCAGCTAACACTTAAATAGCATCTACTATGTGGCAAGCTTTATATAATTAACTCATTTAACCTTCAAAATACGTTATGAGGTAGATACTCTTATTCCCCTCATCTTATACAGGAGGTATACAGAGAGATTAATATTATTCTTTCTTCACCTCCAGTTTTTAAATCTTTACTTGTCAGAATTTAAGTCAGAGGTTAAAAAAAGACATGTAGGATTTCTCGGAGTATAGGCTGAAATCTAATATTTTTGTAAGTTCAGAAAAGTTACTTATATCCTTCACTGACTCAAGTGAAATGATGTGTGATAGTGTGTTGGCACAGAGCCATAAACATAAATGTAAAATCAATCCATGAGGCTAAGAGGTAGAGTTGCAAATAGAAACATGCTCTAAAAATGGCATGTTTATCAACAGACCAAAGAACAATCTCTGAATATTTCCCATGGAACTGAAGAATGCATCTTTTTCATAATACCTACACAGAGATAAATGACCGTATCATATTCAGCAATAAAGGAAGCCAGTGGTGAAAAGCATTTGAAATAACTTTTGTCCCTACTGAGTAGTAGAAAAATATTACTCCCTAGGTAGAATTAGTTGCTTTTTCTTCCAAGCTGAAAGCACCTTATGTGTAGCTATCCCCAGCATCTGTATATTGCAATATAATGTAATTATCTGTTTAGGTAGTAGTCTTCCCTCCAGACTATGAGTCCTGGAGGATAGGGTCTGAATGTATTCATCCTGGGATTTAAAACCATCTCTGCATCTAGTAGAATGAAGGTTTACTGGATGAATAAATGAATGATTTGATAGGTGACTTTTAATAAAATCTCAGGCACTACAAAGTATTATAGGAAAATTTAAAATATCAATGAAGTCATAGGGTGTTTGCTATTCTAAGAGTAGATTCCAGTCTCCTTTGCCTGGCCTTTAAGGCCTTTCTACATGGCCCTAATCTACCTTCTTAACCCTCTCTCATCTACTTCCTCCTCCTAGTTATATCCTGGGTATGAATTACTTTCTCCTTCTGACACAAGCTCTTGTACTTTATCTCTATGCTTTAACTCAGTAATCTCCAAAAGTTTTAGATTATTTAGCCCTAGTATAAAATACCTGAGCCCACTTATTTAACACTGTGCTAATATGTTTATTATAAAACAACCATAAAAATAGAAGAAAACAGACATTTTAAGCAAATGAAGAAAAAATACATAAACAGATGTTTTAATTTTTTCTTCCTGTACACAGTGGATTGCTTTGGATATACTTCACTTTGAAAATCACTGATTTACATGAAAAGAACAAACCTCATAGAGTTTTTGTGAGAATTAAGTGAATCAATACGTTTAATGCACTTAGAACAGTGCTGGTCATGAAGGCCAACTTTAAATGTTAACTCTTCAAAGAATTATTTGAACACATCTCTTATGAGGTTGGGATTTCTCACTGTAGGAGGTGCTGATCCTATAGAGTTTAGCAAGAATCCAAGCCTAAGAAGCCAAAATAAAGTGGAAACTTGGAAAGACTGGGTTTATGGAAAATGATGCAAAGGAAAAAAGATGTAATTATTAACCTCAAGAAAAATAAAGTGTACAAAAAGGAAATATAATCATACTATATTATCTGGCTCTATAGTACATTATGTTTACATAGGCCCAATAACACAAACACTGGCTGCAAATTTAACCAAAAATTGTGATATAAGTATATGGAAAAGATGGGGTGTTAACACAGCCCCTCAAATCCTCAGTTTTTATTAGCAAAAGGCTAAAGTTTAGGCATGTTACTTTAAGACTTGCAGATACATATCAGAAGAAACAGCTAAAATATTTCAATGATGATCTCTGAGGAATGTGACTGGAAAGGTAGAACACTTTCTTAAATTTAAAAATTTTTAAATTAATAGCCTCCCACAACCATTCAGTTTACTATTTAATTTTAAAATTTTGTGTATGTATTATACCAATCAGATTTTTAAAATAAAGTCAATTTTCTTTCTTTTTTTTTTTTTTTAAGATTTTATTTATTTATTTGAGAGACAGAGAATGAGGGAGAGAAAGCACATGAGGCGGGGAGGGTCAGAGGGAGAAGCAGACTCCCTGCCGAGCAGGGAGCCCGATGCGGGACTCAATCCAGGGACTCCAGAATCATGACCTGAGCTGAAGGCAGTCACTTAACCAACTGAGCCATTCAGGCGCCCTAAAGTCAATTTTCTTAAATTTTAAAATTAATAGCCTCCTCCCACAGAAAGATGGCAAGTTGAGTGTATATGTTCAACTCTACTCTCTCCAGAACTCTCAGTGACATACCAGAGAAAAGATGTAGAAAGGCACAGAAATCTCCCAGAAAGAAGAAAAAAAGAGAATAAGATCAGAAATTTAATGCAAGAGTTTTGGGAATGAAATAATAAGACTCCAGGGAGAAAGAAGGGAGAAAATGAAGGAAAAAAAAAAAAATCAAAGAAATAATTCAAAAACTTTTCCTAGAACTGAAGAACATGAATTTTTAGACCGAAAGGGTCAAACAATGTCCAACAAAACAGACAAAGTATATCCAAACCAGGGCACATCGACGTGAAATTTAATAACAAGAGGAAAAAAGAGATCTTGCAAGCTTCTACTTCTAGGGAGATAAAAAGAAGTTACGTACAATGAGATCAGCAGTGTTCTTCTCGATGGTTAACAGAAGTTAAAAGGCAAATGAAGCAAAGTATTGAAAATTCTAAAAGAAACGATTTTATATCCAGTCAATCTATTCATGTAAAAGCACTTTACAACATGCAAAGGTTTTATGCACTCTCAGGAATCTATGAGAAAATGTGTTCACATGAAACAAGAGAACCAACCAGAAAAAAAGGGGGAGAGAGGGGGACATGGAATTCAGGAAACAGGAAATCCGAAGGTTCTATTTATCAGATGATATTAAAAGTGATCATGAGTTTCTTGGTTTTATGAAGATGAAATCCACACAGGCATACATTTGCTTTTTGAAAATGTTAAAACAGTTCACGTGCTCTTAGATTTACATAGTTTTGTTTTTACAGCAGTCTGAGGATAAAAGAGATTACAAGAGGTTTTAACTCTTACCTGCAGCACAGCAGCAAGGGAATATACCACTATGAAGATCACAGTTAAAGAAGTGTGACCACTTTTCATCAAATGAATAGTGTAGAGGAAAATTAAATGTCCAGGAATCACAAGAAGCAGTAGAACCTGAGCAGACTTATTATTCACTCCTGTATTAGAAAACGTAAAAGTTAAAACAAAATCCTATTTGGGTTACTAATAGGTCACAGTTATTAAAATTTAAGGATTACTTTTGCATTTCTATACTGTATAGCATCACATAAAATTCTGTTGCTAACAATACATTTCAGCCACTCACAGTTTACTTAATTCTTTGAAATTCTCATTGTATGTCATATGCTAATTGAATGGCAGGAAGTTGAGAAAAACTTGCTATGAAGAACACTGGTCAGACTTTAAAATCTATCATAATAATAGAGGGAAGACAAAAGAAAACACATAAAGTTCTTAAAGCACAGGAATGTTCTAATTTTACTTTTCTTTCAGAGTTCTTTCACTGATATTTCACTGGGCATTTCTGATCCTCATTCAGGAGTCAATAGTAACAAATGTAGGGATCCGAAGGAGCACCTGCACCCCAATGTTTATAGCAGCAATGTCCACAATAGCCAAACTATGGAAAGAGTCCAGATGTCCACTGACAGATGAATGGATAAACAAGATGTGGTATATATATACACAATGGAATACTACTCAGCCATCAGAAAAAAATGAAATCTTGCCATTTTCAACAAGGTGGGTGGAACTAGAGGGTATTATGCTAAGCGAAATAAGTCAATCAGAGAAAGACAATTATCATATGATTTCATTCATATGTGGAATTATAAAACAAAACAGAGGAGCATAGGGGAAGGGAAGGAAAAATAAAACAAGACAACATCAGAGAGGGAGACAAACCAAGGGAGACTCTTAATCAGAGGAAACAAACTAAGAGTTGCTGGAGGGGAGAGAGGTAGGGGGGATGGAGTAACTGGATGAGGGGTATTAAGGAGGGCACTTGATGTAATGAGCACTGGGTATTATATAAGACTGATGAATCACTGAGCTCTGCCTCTGAAACTAACAATACACTTTATGTTAATTAACTGAATTCAAATTTTTGAAAAAGTCAATAATAACCTTTATTTTCATCAGAAAAGAAGTGACAAGAATTGTGAGGTTTAATACTGTGGTCACAGTTTTTTGGTAGTCACTGCCTGGGTGACACAGACAGGACACTATTCCTTGTTAGGGAGGTTTTCCCTCTCCTCCTGTTTGTTTGGGATCAAATGCCTACATTCAGAAAAGCCAAAAGGATTAATATAGGAAAGACAGTATATCTGTCTCTCTAAATCACCTAGCAGTGCTTTCCTATGTATATAAGGTTCCTCCTTCTTGACGCATGAACAAGACATCCCAGAGAAAAGGATGAAACAGAAAAAGTATACAAAGTTCCTCAGCAACTGCACAATTGATACACATGACTTTCTTTCACTGAGATTTAATGAACACAATCTATTCTATTTAAAATCTACTCAGGTCTCAGGAATAAAAAAGTCACGTCAAACTGACAAAATATGTGTTCAGCAAATGTTGCCCATCTCTATTCTCAGAGAATTATTCCTGATATACAATATGTAAAAATCCACAAGCACATACCTGGACCAAAAAAAGTCCTAAATGGGTAGTAACAACCTTTGGGTTCATCAGGCAATTCTCCTGGAATGCTATGTAAATGAAGGTAGGTAGAAATCCTACTAGCCTGAATGGCCACCAAATTACCACCAATACCTGAAACATAAGGAAAAACAAAGCAGTTATCCTTATATTTTAAACAACTTGCATAAATTCAACCAAAGGCAAAGCAATTCATGTTATAGCCTGGCCCAATAAAACAAACAAACAAAAAAGAATTCTTCTGAAATGTTGACTTATTTGATGTTGAGGTAGGTTTTCCAAAGATATAAAGTCATTGTTATGTAAGACTCATGCATTATTTTTTCAAATCTGACTCACTGACTGAAAGCAGACCAGACTAAATAATTTTTTTTAAATTACTACCACGGCCAAGATATAAAGCTAGGTAGCAAGATGTTTAATGCTTACCACCTTAATGAGAGGAAAAATAAGCTTGATTTTTTTCAAATACAGAAGGCTTGATATTTCTCTTCTCAGGTTACTAAAGAAATTGGTATCAGGGACTGAAAAAAATACTCAAGAAAGTCATCTTTCAACCGCAGCTATCCTCTCAAATCCTTTACAGACCTGCCCTACAAGAATTTCTCTTGGCAAAAGGAACATAAAACCAGATGGAAATCTGGAACTATACAAAGAAAAGAAGGGTGCTAGAAATGTAAAATAAATCAGAAAATAAAAAAGATTATCATTTTCTCATTTTTAATCTCTTTAAAACAATAACTGGCCACTTAAAGCAAAAATAATAACAATGTATATAGGGCTTATAACAAAGTAAAATGTATGACAAAAAGAGCACATAAGAAAGAGAAGTGAAAATCCAAGTATACCGATGTAAGGTCCTTACCCTTTATGTAAACGGACTAGATTATTATTTGAAAGTACACTGTGATAAAGATATATTAAAAGCCCTAGATCAGTAGTTCCCAAAGTACAGTCTGGGGTCTGAAGGAAGGTTAGTTCTAGAAATCCTAACCAGAAGTCCCAGAAGGAGAGCTTCACAGTACATAAGCATGATAAAGGCTTTAAGAAATCCTGTAGTAAAGAAATCTATTTGACCTAATGCTTCCCAAACTTAATTGACCACAAAACTCACTTCTCAAGGTATACTATTAATCTCACAGAACTAGTATTCTTGTGAAATCTATTTCAGAAAATGCTACTAGTTCTGAGAGATGTTAATAAGTGTTAAAAGATATCCTTGTCACAATATCAACACTGATATGCCTTACTTTAAACAAAGTGTGTATTTTTCTAACTAACAAAACAGATAAATTAGCTAGATAGATAAGTTATGGGGGCGGGGGGAAGCACAGGCTTTGGAATCAAGCAGATCTGAATTTAAATGCTGAGTTACCACTTACTAGATATGAGAGGTTGGACACATTACTCTCTTATTGTGAGGATGAAATGATATAACATGCATAAAAGACCTGCATGTTATCTGGCACGTAGTAGGTACTCACTAGTTATCAAATGATGATGGTGCTGATGGTGTGTTAATTAGAGATCCTTTAAATCGTACATCCTCTAGATATCCAACTAGGAGACTCACTTACTGAGATACGAAAAAGATTTTACCTCCATGAATACCATGGCTTCCAAGAAGAGCACTCCAGGGAAGCTTTAGAATTGTTTCTCATGTAAGGTGAAATAACAGAAACACTGATTCAAACCTTACTAATGATGGGGTTGTTATAATTTAAATTTTTCACTGAAATATTGGACAATATAGCTCTAACAGTATTGGTGGTAGTATTTATGCTGGTGACTTCATCAACTAATATTCATTGAAGAGGATTTGAACAGGTGGAAGAAAAGCAGTAATCATTCCAGGCAATGAAAATTAGGTCTTTGTCGGGCCACGAAATAGGAATCTGGTTAGAAAGGTAAAGGAAAAAGTTGTACACATCCAAGAGCATATAGAGGGCTTTGAAAGCGAATCAGAAGAATTCAAACTTGATTTGACAGGCAGGAGGAAATCACTGATAAGTTCATTTTCCTAAGACTGAAGTAATAAAAACAATGTTTAAGGAAGACTAGCCTGCTGGTGACAGTTAATTGACATTGAATAGGGAGTGGGTCAGGAAAGCTACTTTTTTACTTCAATGATGGCTTAAGTAAGACATTAGCAGACTACAATGCTGAGACATTCTTATACAAATAAGTGAACAAGTGAATTATGTTAATGGGCAAATCGATGAGGTTTGGTCACTGTCTATTCAGAGAGGATGAAGGGCTGGGTTGATGGTTCCATGATTTTAAGGGTGGATGATAGGGGGACAGTGGCACCAGGAAAATTGGAAAGGGGATCTAGAGGGGAAATTTCTTCATGGACATTTTATAGCAACACAAAAATGTAAATGTTCAATTGAAATTTTAGGTATGAAGTTAGATTTTAGGGAACTTGCCTTCATATAATATTTTATGACATATAAATATACAAAAGCAATTTATATTAAATGTGTAGCACATCCTGTGACATGTTTTCCCTCAGGTAGAATTACTTTTTAAATTATATTGGTGTAAGCTGTACTAAAATCCAATATAATGACAGCCAGCCCAAAAGTCAGTATGACTAGATTAAAATTATCTTACTAAATGGAATTCATACCAAAAAACCCTGTGAACCTAAACATTATAATTCCCATTTTATAGGTAAGAAAAAAATATAAGGCAGATCTTAAAGGGATCCACAGAGGAGTGATAGATTTTAATGAACTGAACTGACTTAAGCAATGCTTAAACCTAGCTAACTCTAACTGATCCACAAAAATTGACAGGGGCAGCAGCAAACCATGAGATAGCAGATAAACCCAAAGTAAATGATAATCCAGAACTGAAATACCGTATTTTGCCACACTAATCTTAAAAATCAAGTGTGCTTGACTCTGAAACCAATATCAAGTAGTAAGAGTAAGAAACAGTTCTTTTCAAAACTAGGTTGTACATACTGAGAACAGGGAATGTCATTTCTACCATGAACACCAACCTGGGGGTGGCGGGAGAATGGAAGGGAGGGGGAGATACACCTCTTAAAATCTGAACCCTAAAATTCCTGTTCCCAACAAAGAGTACATATAATGATTTGATACCATTGTGAAGAGTATATCTAATTCTTACCATTAATAACTGGTGTGTAAACAACAATGCCAACCAAGTTTGGATCAGATACAGTTGTGTCCAGAATAAGGCCCCCAATGCTGAAAGATAGAAAATCATATAATTTAGGGAAAAGGAAAGAAATGTACTAATTTTAAGCTGCTCTTTACATACAAACACTTCTACTCTAAAAAAACATTTTTTTAGACATTTAAAAAACAATAAAAAGGAAAAATATTTCAAGTAAAAATCAATGGCAACAGTGAAATGTTGAAAATAAAACATGGAATAAGCTATAGCCCTACATGTTAGGGCTCTCCTTCTGATCTCCAAGATATGTTCCTTATAAAAAGGAAAAGAATATGCTTTAGGTGCATTAAGATGTCTGGAAGGATAAGAAATTATTAACAATGTCTATCTTGGGTGGAGGGACTGACAGAAGACTGATGGTTATTTTATATCCTTCCGTATTTACTAATTTTTTAAAACCATGTGCATTTATTGCTCTTACAATTTAAAAAATTGTTTGCTTTTTTTTAAGCAAGCTCTATACCCAACGTGGGGCTTGAACTCACAACTCTGAGCCCAAGATCAAGAATCTCATACTCTACCAACTTGAGCCAGCCAGGTGCCCCTAAAAATAGTTTTTAAAAGAGTATTTCTTCATATTTGAAATCAGCAAGGCATCAGAGGGATCATATTTACTGTGTGAAAACTAGATAGGTGTAGCATCTTATCACTGGAAAATTAAAATAATGGGTTGTAGCCATAGAAAGAGCTGACTTTGAGGATGGAGGTCTGGAAAAATAATATACAGTTACATAGTAGCAAGCCAAATACTCTGACTGTCTTGATGGAGCTTGGAGATTTTTTAAGTTTCCAAGACCAATACCAACTGGTTAACTTCAGCTTCTTGGTCTAAGTCCTGTGAAACACTGCCAGTCCCTGTACTCCATGAGATCCTGTTGCCTGAATCTTCCAGGAAAATGCAATCTACATTACAGAAAAATAAACCCCATGTTATCAGAGAATGGGGTTGTCAAAATATCAGATCAAATGTTCGACCACTACCTGATAGTTAACATTAGGAACTTATTAAATATTATTTTAATTTTCAGTAAAATAAATGAATTGTGGCTTACTATGCTAAATTACTAGGACATCCCATTAAAAATTACATTGCAAAGTCCCAAAGTAGTCATCCTCAGCAGTATTTTAATATTTAAGCTCTAATCTTAAATATATATATATTTCATAGAACAAAACTAGTTATGTGTCAAAGAATAAATTTCTATGCCAGAACACATAGGTTCATGCTGTGACCATAACATGAACACTTGCTAAAACACATCTTAAAATGTTTTTATGACCCAGGTAACAAAATATTATAGAAAAATTAGAAAAGACAAACAGAAAGAAGAAAATAAGAGTCAACCTCCGTGCTATCATTCAGCGTTATACTGTTAGCATCTTGATATATAGCCTCCCAGACATTTTTAAACACGTAGATTTTTAAAAATAAAAACTCACATTGTAAAAGTAGTTCTCTCTTTACTTTTATTAAATTTTATTTTTATTGAATAAACATATGTACATTATTTAAAAAGTGAAAGTACCACAAAGTTTAATAGTCCCCAGCCCCCACCCCCAGCACCTGTTCTCCACTATTAATTCTTTTCAACTACTTTAGCTGTTTCTTCTGGTGTTTAATGCTACATTTCTAAGTAACATGTTTATACTGTGATTTCTTGATTTTAATTTTAGACATTAACCTAATGACTTCCACTGTGACAGATGAGGATTTAATCTCACTTGCCCTTCCCCTCGCCACTTTGGATCCTTCATAATTCTCTTCCTCCCCTTATCCTGCCAACTTGGTTATATAATCTTGGGTGAAAAAGATTTAGGGTTTACTTTACTATAACATTGGAATCATTATTCACAACTGAGCCACCAAATGTATTAGATTTCCTCACTTTTACTTGTTGCTTTGGCCCATATTTTTCCTAATTTTGGGGGTATTTATTACTAATTTGGTTTCAACTTTCTAACAAAGTTAGTGAAATGCCTCTGAATACAGTCAGACTCATCAGGTAACTGATCAATTCCACTTTTGTTTCTTAGAGACAATCCTCCTTAAGTCCTCTGTCCTCCTGCCAACCTGGATGGTGGCCTCTAGGCCTGCTACATGGCTGTCACCCTGCACCTTCCCTTCAATCTCCCACGCTGGGTTTTGGTCTGTGTGCCATGACCAAGTCCCAACATTTCATACGACCCTATTGCCTGAATCTTCTAGGAAAAAGCAATCTACATCACAGAAAAATGAATCACATGCTCTCATGGAATGGGTTTCCTCATTCCTGTGTCACCTTCTTTCTTATTTCCTCATTTTGATAGACCTTATCTTCTGCCAGCGTTTATATGAAAGGGCATATGGGAAGCAAACTTTTTGAGATCCTGCATGTCTGAAAATTTCTTGATTCCACTCTTACATTTGGTTGACACTACAACCACACCTTATGTTCAAAATACTCTCCCTTGAAAATTTTGAAGCAATAACTTTAGGTGTTGCTATTGGACATTATTCAGATTCCCAATGCTTTATATATACCTCATCTTTTTTCTCTAGAATATTTTGGGATTTGTAGTAATGTCCTTTGATTTGGTCTCTCCTGCTATTCACTGTGCTAGGTACTCAATGGGCCCTTTCAATCTGGAAGCCCATGGTCTTCAGTCCTGGGAAATTTTCTTATATTATTTCTTCAGTAATTTCTTCTTATTGTTTGCCTCCAAGTGCTCACCTCTGTTTTCTGTTCTATTTTCCAGAACAGTTCCTCAGCTCTATCTTCTAACTTTTCTAAATCTTTTGTTTCTGCTATTTATATATATTCTTTTTTTTTAAGATTTCATTTATTTAGGGGCACCTGGGTAGCTCAGTCAGTTAAGCATCTGCCTTCTGCTCAGGTCATGATCCCGGGGTCCTGGGATCGAGCCCCACATTGGGCTCCTTGCTCAGCTGGGAGCCTGCTTCTCCCTCTCCCTCTGTCCTTGCCCTGGGCTCATGCTCTCTCTCTCTCCCTCTCAAATAGATAACAATCTCTTAAAAGATTTTATTTATTTATTTGAGAGAGAGTGAGCAGGAGGAGGAGCAGAGGGAGAGGGACAAGCAGACTTCTTGTTGAGCACAGAGTCCAACGTGGGGCTTGATCCCAGTACCCTGAGATGATGACCTTGGCCAAAATCAAGTCCATCGCTTAACCAACTGAGCCACTCAGGTGCCCCTATACAGTCTTCATTCCCAAGAGCTCTTCCTATTTTTCAAATCCTCCATATTGGAGCATTCTGTTCTTGCATTATGGATGCCATAGATTCTCTTACTGCTCTGAGGACATCGATGAGTTTTTTGAGGTCTTTCAACTACCCCTGCACTTTCTTTGAATACCATTTTTCTGCTTTCTTTCATGTTAGAAGCCTTAATCAAATGTCTGGGGATCCTTTCGCTGTCCGCTCCCCTGGAAGGGGCACTGCAGAGCACACCTGGAGCTCACTGTGTACAGAGGCAGACCTCGTCAGCAGGTAGGCCTCCTGAAGAAGCATCAGGTGGCCAAGCAGCTCATTCACTAAAGGACCCACAAGGGTCAATATCCACAAGTTTTTCTTTTGTGCTGGTGAGTTTCCCCAGAAAAGAATTATTCTAATTTTTTTGCCTGGGAGCAGAGGCCTGACTGCCAGCATTCCAGGAGCAAAGAAAAGGAAGTGGGATAGGGGTTTTCACTGTTCAGCAACTAGATTTTCACTTAATCCTATTTTTCCTACAGTGTGTAACCCATGCCTCATGTGTGCAGGTGTTTCCAAGTCCACAGCCTCTCTGATTCAGTCTCCGAGTTAATTCTTGTCTTCTGCCAAGTTGGGAGGGGGCGGTCACCTGCATGGTCAAGCTGCAGAAGGGCTTTTAGGATCTAATTGCTTCTTACATAAACTTTCAACATCTTCTTCATTTCGGCTCTGAGAAGTACTTAGTGCCTCTATTTCCTCCCCCTTTCTGGGTTTCTGAGGCTCAGATCTCAGATCCGCCTGCTTCTTATGGGTGTCTTCTGGCCCTGCAGGAGGTTAGGTTTTAGCTTTTTCCATTTTGCTAGTTCACTTAAAAATCATCCATCTGATTCCTATTTTACCAATTCTGTCGACTCTCACACCTGCTGGCCTCTCTGCTCCCCTTCTTTGTGGTTTACAGCTTTTCTGTTCTATTACTGTCATTTTAGTAGTTTCAGGAAGGAAGAAGATAAATGTGTGTCAATATACCATGTTTAACAAGAAAGTCACACTCTTTTCTAGCTTGCTCTTTTCACCAAATATACAGTGAACATCTTTCCATGTCAATAAAAATGTTGCAATGTTATTTTTAGTGGCTAATATTCCATCTTGTGACTACACTACAATTTATTTGATCGATACCTGGTTGCTAGACCTCTAAGGTGGTCTCTTTCTTTTTTGTTGTTAAAAATCCCACTGTGATGAGGATCCTTATAACTTGATCTTTTGCAAATATCCTTAATTATATCCTGTGTCCTGTTGGAGTGGAAGTAGTCAAATGGTGTGTCCATTTCTAAGGCTTTCTGATACTCATGTGAATAACTTACTATTAAAAATAAGTAAAGTCAGGTTAACACATAAACACACACACAGAGAGAGACACCACTAAACCTTACTCATCAATCTGATAAGGATTTGATTGGAAAAAAGTTTGAAACTGGTCTACTGATTTCAATAACTCCTAGGACTATTATCCCTATTACCTGTGATAATAAAGACCTGACTATATAAGATGATTGAACCAAGAAATAAAAACAGGCTGCTGATGTTTTAGCATATACACAGATACAAGCATACAGAACACATGCACACACACATTTTAATACTAACCTACTTATAATCATAGCTGTTATGACAGGCTCCCAGCCTGAGTGGAGAACTGTCCTTGTGGCTGGATGTTTGGCAGCTATTATAATCCAGATAGGAGTTAGAGCCAAGAAAAAGACACCAACTAATGGAGAAATGTAGTAATAGTTGTCTAAAATTAAAAAAGAGACAACATTTCAATCTCTCTTCTAATCATGTAGCAAATGTAGATATTAAAAGTACAAGTTTCCCAGAAGATAGGATGTTATCCCACATATTCACAGGCTATATATTTTCTCTAAACTTCACACAAATTTAAAACTGTAGATAAGGTAAAAATATTAAATACTGTAACTGAAAACGAGTACATTAATTCAACAAACGTTTATTGAAATAGCTATCTGAGCTGGATGCAAATTGCACTAATAACAGTAAGGACAACAACAGTAAAAAAGCCAACATTTATTTGGCTATTATTTACCAGGTACTGTGCTAAATGCTTTTTAGGCATCATCTCATGTGGACTGTCCTCACAAGTATGAGGTAGATACAGCCATTTCTATTTTATGGAGAAACTGAAGCTTAGGAGCTTAAGAATATGGCTAAGAAATAGCAAGAGTCAGGAGAAGATAGCATCTGACACCAAAGTTAGTAACTCTTAACTCTAAAGTCAAATGGGATATTATTTTTACCGACAAGGATCTTATAGTACAAGCATTCCAAGGACTATTGGCCAATCAATCGATAATAGATATCCCCCCAATACTAAAGAGTGTTCTAAGCTCCAAAATAAAATAGAGAAACTAAGTTTAATAAAGGTAAACACCTCTCTTCACTGCTGAACTTCTCAGAACCCTTCATAAGCTAAGACAGAACACAGTACACTGTGTTAAACATAGTTTGGCCAGACCACCTAGTTTCCACATCTCGGTGTTATAACCTACCTTGGACAAGAAATTTCACTTCTATAAACTTCAATTTCCTTATGTATAAAACGGCAATAATAACAGTATCTATTTCATGGAGTTATTGTGCATCTTAAAAGAATGAGTACATGTAAGTAGAATAGTGCCCAGGCACCTAGCTAACATTCATCAAACACTTACTATCATCATAATTACCATTGCCATTATCATTAACATCTTGCTATTTGGAACACACTGAGATAGCAGATTGCCAGGACTTTGTTATAAACCCTTTGTGGTAAACTGTCTTACTTGATCACAATTATTCATTCTCTCTCCATTCTTGTTATGTTTCCCTATAGAGTGAATATATTTCTCTGCCTCATTGACTTTGGGCTTAGCTATTTGTCTTGCTCTGTAGACACGCTGTATGTCACCTCTGAACAAAATTTTAAGTGCTTTCAGAAATGAGATAGAGATAGAGATATATGGGTAGATATTAGCAGTCTTCAGACACTAGACAACAAGCATTGCAAGACTGTGATCTTTGAGAGAAAGGAAAGAAATGAGATAAGCCCTACAACAGCCTCAGCTTTTTGACTAGAGGCATGTCCCAGACCACAGTGCAGGAAGGGAAAACTCCAGCAGAGTAAGGCTAGGGCAGCAGGAATTTATAGGATAAAATACTGGAGAAGAGGAAGCTCTCAGAGACAGAGCTTGTGAACTGAATACTAAGCCATGCATGCATAGGGTGAACTCCACAAGGCTAAGTCAAGAATAATTGTGTAATTGTAAGCTGAAAAATTCCAAAAGTTTACAGAGGGTTGGAAGTCATTCAAGAGCCAATCCTGTAGAGAGGAGAGGCCTCTTCAAACATTGAGAACATTCATTAAAGACCTGAGAAGAGTCACATCTTAGTAGTAGGACCAGCCCTAGTGTCAAATCTACTCAAGATTGGCTCCATAAAGCTTGAAACCAAGCCTTGTAAGGCTCAAGCTAATCTACAATTAACTGCCTACAAGAACAAAGTCAAACACGTTGTAAAGAAAAACAAAACAATTGAGCACTTAATGTTATTACATTCACAATGTCTAGCATCCAACCAAAAATTATTTTGAAGTGTTTGGAATAATATTTAGTCACATTTACAAACTTAGTTAAATACCCTAAGACATTCTATTGACCTTAGACATTTCTCATGTCTCTCAAAAGTTTCCAGGTACTTAAGATAATCTTTATAAATCTAATAAATTAAATGTACAAATATGGCAAGTCTTTAAGTTTTCATAAATATTCATATAATGCAGACAATTTTGGAATATTTATAAGTCACAAGAATAAGTCAATTAATTACAAATTTAAGATAGAATTAGAAGACTGACATGTTTCTCTGATGGGCTAAGTTACAAGTATATTTAAAAATATATGTTTTGCCTCTTTAGCATAAAACCATTAATACCATGAATTTGATTCTCAAATATTTTTATACTTAATTCTAAATATCCCCAGGAATAAAATTTGCCTACCCCTTCTTGAAACAGTAACACCATCCTAAAACATTTTTGGTAGTATCATTTTAGCTGATCAAGGTGTTACTAAATTTTTCTGGCACCTCACAAAATTCTTCAATCTTTATCCAGAATCTTATCTTTGATTAAACTTTGTATTTCCTCATCTTAAGATATTTAAAGATCTCTCACCTATGACTAAAAATGTTTGAACCAGCTAGAAACTCAATTTTTTTTTCCTATCAGGTAGGAATAAACAATTACTATAAATATGAAACTAATACCCAACCCCAAATTTTCTCATGGCTTTACCTAGATCACATCTTCAAAATAATTATGCTAACAAAATCCATTTGAATATTTTCTTCCATTTAAAGGGATATGACTAATGTTATACATAGTGTCATTTTCTCTATGAATTTTATAGAAGATTGAAAAAAACTTTATTGAATGGATTCCCAGTTCTCCTTGTTAAAATATTAGATAAGGGTAAATAACATCCCAATTAGAAGGCAATTCTTACCTCTTAAAACAACTAAGATTGTCAACAACCTCTCTAGGGGATCAAACAGAAAACTAAAGGCAAAATCCACTAAACACAAATGAAAAGAACTATTCTGCTAGGTCAGATCATCTTAGTACTTCATTTTCAGGTCAAAAGGGGAGCACCCTACTCAGCTTTTAAATTATTCTCAACATTAAATCTCTGGAAGGACATCTGAAGTGGAAAGAAGCACCTACCACCCCAACCCCAGAATCACTGCTTGAACTTCCAAAGTGGGGGATAGTTTTCTCAGTAAATAAACTAAAAATAATGAGTGGGGCAATTCCTCAAAAAGTTAAACAGAGTTATCATATGACCCAGCAATTCCACTGCTAGGTAAATACCAAGAGAACCGAAAACCTATGTTCACACAGAAACCTGTACAAGTGTATTTATAGCAGCATTTTTCCATAATAGCCAAAAAATGGAAGCAACCCAAATGTCTATGAATTGGTAAAAGGATAAAAAAATGTCATATATTCATACAACGGAATATTATTCAGTACTGATTCATGCTGCAAGGCAGGTGAAACTTGAAAACATACTAATTGAAAGAAGCTGGACATAAAAGGTCATAGTTGGATGATTCCATTTTTTTTTAAATGTCTAGAAGAGGCAAACCCATAGAAAGTAGATTCCCGGTTGCAGGGTCTGGGCAAAGGATAGAATGGGGAGTAACAGCTAAAGGTTTCTTTTGCGGGTGATGAAAATGTTCTGGAATTATATAATAGGTTGTATAATCTTATGAATGTACTAAAAACCACTGAATTGTACCCTTTCTAAAGGTGAACTGTGTGGCATGTGAATTGTATCTCAATTTTTAAAAATTCTAACAATGAGATACAATTCACATGCCACACAATTCACCCTTCAAAAATGTCAGTGTCCTAAAGACAAAGAAAAAATATATACAAACATGCATAATACATACATATATAGAGAGACAGACAAAGAGAGAGAATAAAAAAACAAAGCAAATGGGGTAAAACGTTAACATTAAATGTATCTAGGTCCAGGGTATGCAGGGTTTAAAAAAGTAGGGAAACCATGATAAAAATTTCTAAAATTGACTTACTGTAAACACGTTCTATCTCAATTTCCTGCCAAATCTAATATGCCCATTCCTACCAAACTACGATTGTATAGGACCCTCCTATCTTTTTTCTGGCTAAGATCTAACCCAATTCTGAAGACTATGAAAAAATTACAAATATAGGAAAAGGGAAGATTCTAAAACATTTTTCTTTGTAGGATACATTGGTGTTTTATAGATGTCATAAAATTAAAGAATTACTTTTAGAAAACCACTAATGATACAATCGGCAAGAGAAAATGGTTGATTAAAAGCCAGTCATGAACTTCTGCATTAATATCAAAATCTAAAATGATGTCTTCCTTCAAAATGAAATACATTTCAATGATCCTAGTCAAAATAATATTTTGTATTAATTTCTGAGTATATCACAATAGGTATTGTAGTAGGCTGAATAATGACCCTCAAATACATCCATATCCTAATCCTTAGAACCTGTGAATAATTAATTACCTTATATGGCCAAAGAAACTGCAGATATAAGTCAAGTATTTTGAAATGCATAAATTATTCCAGATTATTAGGGTGAGCCCAAAATGTAATCACAGGTGTACTCCCAGGCAAAAATTAGAGGGAGATCTGACTCCAGAAGAGTTGGCAATGTGACCACAGAAGCAGAGATTGAGTAATGCAGCTACAAGCCAAGGAATGCTGGCAGCCAGCAGATCAAAGAGCCAAGGAATGCATTTTCCCCTAAAAACCTCCACAGAGGCCAGCCCTGCTGACACCTTGATTTTAGCCCTGTATAAGTCATTTTAGACTCTGGCTTCCAGAATTGTAAGAAGACTAATTTCTGTTTGCTTGTTTGTTTGGTTTTTTAGGATTTTATTTATCTATTTATTTGACAGAGAGACAGAGCACAAGCAGGGGGAGCGGCAGGCAGAGGGAGAAGGAGAAGCAGGCTCCCCGCAGAGCAGGGAGCTTGACACAGGACTCGATCCCAGGACCCTAGGATCATGACCTGAGCTAAAGGCAGATGCTTAACTGACTGAGCCACCCAGGCACCCCTCATTTCTGTTGTTTTAAGCCACAGAGTTTGTGGTAATTTGTTACAGCAGCAAAGGAAATGCATACAGGTGCATAGATAAAGCTCTGCAGAATTTTAAGCCTAAGAAATGCCCGTGTGCGTTAGTATTGATTCTGTGACATACATAAACTACAGAAAAGTAACGATGGACACAGCTAAAGTGGTTCAAATTGCTGTGATTCCACTTAACTGCCAAACATAACAGCCACCTTTCTGATTCATGGCTTGTTCCTTTTATTAGATTGTGGGTGGCATTTTGCAACAACTGTTACATAATTTCATTAACAACTTTCATTATTCTTACCCTAAATTCTTTTGAAATATGTAGCTGCTATGAGTAACGCTCTTATATGTCAGCCGTTTGTGTGTGAGCAACAAAGCAAGGGCCATGGTAAGTTATCAATTTTTTTTAAATGCCCTCCCTTATAACTATCAGAATGTTCTCACTAAACTGACCTTCCAGGAATCACTCTAAACTAAGATGGTGAGTGCTGAAAATCTCTGAAGAAGACTGACATGCAAGATAAATTTAGATTCTACTCATATCACCACTCACATCCAGGCAGGGATATTCTACAATGCCCGGTAAATAGCTAGCTGGCATCCCTGTTAGTTTCCACAGACTGAAGCAACCTAAGGCTGACCCTGACTCTGTTCTTATGGCTTCAACTAAGCCATCTTTTTAACCTCGAAGAATGAGAAATCAATCAATGTTCTGCTTCTCAGATCTTGCCTAAAAAGAGAAAAGCTGACAGTTTTTCAAATCAATAACATCATGTACATCCCAGAATTAGACAGCCATGCAGTTATAAATAATTGAAAAAGAGTTTTTAAAATCCTCTTAAAAGTATGTGAACAAGAAGAAAGAAAGGGCAGCAATCACTGTGTACAGGTATTTTGGTTCCCGGCCTAACTTCTTCCTTTTAATAGCTTTTTAAAAATTACTATTGTTTAAACATTACCGTATGAATGAATGCCTTTATATCTTCCTGGCAAGTCATACCAAAGCATATCATAGTCCAGAGCTTAGATTAATTTCTAAACTAACTTTCAATTTTTGCTTCTATTTCAAGATCTTTCCTAGCCATATGCTGCCATTTTAATTTTTCTGTGGGGATACTAGTCCCCTGATACTTTCTGCTAAAGCAAGATACTCTTCCAATATTTCCCTAATACAATGTCCTCACTGAAAGGGTCATTTTTTTTCTTGGTTATAATCTATTCTGTTACTGGACTAAGAATATAGTAACATCATTCAGAAAGATATCTATCTTCTATTTCCATGTGTGTACCACTTCCTGAATAGCTTCTACTCACATTAACTAGATAGCTTTCAAATGGGATAAAGCATTTCACCAAGTGTTATTTATTTAATATCCATTTATGTATATGGCCCTATGGGATGCTGATAGATGTAAAAAAACACACACAATTTTGTCCTCAGAAGCTTATATCCTCATAAAGGAAGGTACTACATTTACACAAAAAGCTATAATGACCAGTAAAACGTAAAGAACGTTACAAGAGACGTATCAGTGAAGGACTACAGGAATTCAGAGGAGGAAAAGTTCAATTAACATTAGAGAAACGTGTGAATTTAGCATTAAAAATGAGGTCTCTGACTGGCCTTAATGAAGGGGAAGGGAATGACAGAAGAAAGAAAAGAGAAAAATCATGGCTAATGTATGAGAATCAGTTACTGGGTGAGTCTGGCTGGAGCGGGGAGGGTGTTGGAAGATACATTTCTGCCAACTCCCAGAGGTTTAACACAAGGCTAAAACTTTAACTTTGTTAACTGAGCAACGAAGACGTAAGTGACTATACAAAATAAAGTCAATAGTAATAAACAAAGCTCTGGGCTTATTTTGTCCTTTTTGTGGAGAACTGGCCAGGTGAAAAGAGGAAAAATCCTGCATTTACTTCAGATATCAGAAATTAGCAAATTTTATCAGGGCCGAAAGAGAAGTAACAAATTGAATGGATGTAGAGTGAGCTTCCGTACATGCATCAAAACTAACAAGACAAGACGGGGGGGCTGTTCCCAGTCATTCTAAGTATCCAAAATTCTAGGTGGGGACTTAAGAGAGACTTTTCTCAATGCCCAGTTCTTTGGGAGCCATGTAATACACAGCCTCTATTTGTAACAAAAGCCTATAGCTGCCATGAAATCCTCTTATCTCTAAAGACTGCTAAGTGTTTCCAACATAGTTCAGGAATTAAACTTTGTTTCCAAGGACTAGGCAGCACAGCAGGATGAATAGGGTCTCAGAATTTAAATGTGACTATTCCTAATCTTTATATTCAGAACACCACTAACACTGGGCTGATCTTATGAGGCCCCCTAGTGCTCATAATGTAGACATTATAATCCAACACTAACACCAGAAAAACTCTTCATGGTTAAATCAACTATAATTAAAAAAAATAATAAAATTTTTAAAAAATCAGCACACATTATTTTCCCCAAAAGTTTATTTATCTTCTGAAATCTCATAATACTGAATCTGTATCATTATAACAATTGTCATATTTATTAGGATAACATTCTTCAGTGGCATTCTCTTTCTTTCTTACTACTCAAGACTCCAACTGAGGAGACACCTTGGTATTCAACCAGCAGCTGAGAAATGTGTTACAAATGACTTCATGGTAATTTGAGCACCCAAGTCTGCAAATAATATACCTTTTCTGTTTACGTATATAAGGCAACCCATCCCAGAAACACTGCCAACCTTCCAGTCCCATCCCCACCCACCCTCAATGTTCCTGGCAAGACCCATAGAATAATAATAGGTAGAAACCCTTCACCCTCTTCTGCTTTCCCCATCCTTTCTCCTCCCCACTCCCCCTCACAGGGGAGAGACTTGTCTAACTGGTAAGACTAGGGAAAGGGGCACTAACTTGTCTTTTGGGATCCAGCCTATTGATGACAGTCTCCCTTTCCCAACACAGTTAGCAGCCCATTTCTGTGGGGAGCTGAGGCCTACAAGTCATCCAGCTGCCTGCCTATGAGTAAATTAATAGAATAGGAGAATATTAAGTCATATTCTCTAATACTAGACATATTTTAATCTCTGACATCAGTATGAATTTCTAACTTGTATAAAATAGAGGGAAAAAATATGACTAATTATCACCCCAACAATAAATTAAAGAAGATTATCCCTTTACTAATATAACTAATTTTCTGTCCTTTATTTGACTGGAAGAGAAAAGAATCAAACATTATCCTGAATATACTTGTACATACAACATTCCTTGTGTATTTCACAACAATGAAAACCCACCACCTATATGAACAAGATCTTATTACATTTAGGCTATTGATCATTTATTGTCTTCTACCTTGCTAAGGAAATGAGAATTTTCCTTGAACTTCAAGTTTTATTGACTATTATTTTCATGCCACTCATTAAATATTTTAAGGTAATTTTATATACTAAATGAAGCTTCCCTTAATAAATGACTGATTGCCTTTGTTAGGTTAAAGCCCTTTCTTTAGTTCAAAAACATGTATCTGAGACTTACTTCTTCAAACCAAATGTACTTTAGGCTTATTTTAAAGTATACCATAAATCTGTATAGAACCCACAAAATATATGAGGATACATGAGGATAAATGTTTGCTTCTGGCTTGTTTTATAAACTATCTTTTTTTCTTGTAGTATTCTGTGGGTTTCTGTTTTCTCTTCTTTTTTTTTTATTTGGCATCTAAAAAAATAAAACCATAGCCAACTTCTAGCACTAAACCAATGCTCATAAATCATATTCATTTACATTGATAATAACTTATGTTAAAACAATTCATTAGATTCTATATATAATCTATCACAATTATCAGGAATTATATCTATATAATTATTATATATTATATAATATTATCAATACTATCTGTCACTATTATCAGGAATTATATAATTAATGTATATTATAATTATATATATAACATACGTATGTATACACGAGTATATGATGCCTCCAACTTTACACAACATTCAGGCTAATTTTCATGGTAACTTTTTTGTTGCTGTTAATTGCCATGTTGGTTTCTGATGGGGGACAATCACTAAATTTCAAGCACTGCTACAACCTTATGTTCTGGGACAGTAGTACAATGCATATATCAGAACACTGTGGGTTGACTCCTCACTGCCTACACACTTAGCAAAAGGGCAGAATTCATAGAATATTAGACCTGTGTTCATCCTTCCCAGCAGTAGTGGGCAACATACATAACCTCTATGAGCCTCAGTTTTCTCATCCGAAATTAGAGCCGATAATCCTTATCTTATGTAGTCTTAAACTCCATAAGAAGAAAAAACATGTGAGAAAAAAATATAGGAGAACCACAACATATAGTAGGTATACGACAAATGGCAGTTACTGTTCTAATCAGTCTCAACCACAGTTGTACTATAGATGAAGGCCACCAGGAATTCATGGCATTGTTGCAACAATATTCATTTAAAGAGACTCTGAATAGCACATTATATTTCATTTCAAGTTAACTTACCAAGACAGGAGTACAAACCCTGACTTATCCAGGCTAATATGGCAAGAGTTATGAGGTCGCCGAAACTAGCGGCAATGGGGGTAGCAACATTATCAGGATTTATGCCAGTCTTCTTTGAACCAACAATAACCCCAACCATTATTATTCCTGGAAGAAAGAAAACTCATTACTTTTTATGCTATGATTTAGAGAAAATCAATCCCCTAAATACTTAAATATAAAGGCTAGACAAACAGCCCGTCAGTTCCAGTTAGACTGCTTAGATAAGCTGACTAAAGCAAACAAAACATTTTACTCTAATGCTTTGGCAAAATGCCTTTCAACAAATTCCAAGTAGGGATCATAGAAGATTTGAGAAGTTCAGTGTTGCATTTAGAGACCCGAAAAGCTACTGTAAGATAAAATTAAAGCTAAAGTTTCAAATTTAATAACGTACATCTCAGATGTAATATATTTGTGTGTATCAAACCTGAATATTTTACTTTAACTGTCAAAGTATGAAAATGTCAAAGAAAGGTGAGTCATTTATATGCACAGCAATTGGGAAGAAGACCAAAAAAACAGATTTGTCTACATGGTGGTAGCCAGAATGCTTGCTTCATTTTATTTAAAAGCGATGAAGCGTTTAGAGGAGGGAAATAATTAAAATTTGAACACTGAAGGTCAAAACACAAAAAGCAGTCTCTAAAGGATATCTTTTTTTTTTTTAAGATTTATTTATTTATTTTGAGAGAGAGAGAGAGCACAGACGGGAGGGGCAGAGGGAGAAAGGAGAGAGAATCTCAAGCCGACTTCCCGCTGAGCGCGGAGGCTGACGCGGGGCTCAATCTTACAACCCCGAGATCATGACCTGAGCCGAAACCCAGAGTTGGACACTTAACCAACTGCGTCACCAAGGTATCCCTAAGGATATTCTTTAAAGTCAAAGTTTCTATCTACGAACTTCCAACTAGAGAATAAAAGACGAAAATATGACTGTGTACTTGTACTCCCAAATATTTATTTTCTTGAATCATAGAAATGGTGAGGGAGGATGATAACATTTATATTCATACCCAGTGGTACACATTTTCTCATGCCAAAATTTAGAGGATGCAGTGCAGAGAATATTTAAGATTAGTGCACTTATGTGCTAACCATAAACCAGTATGGAAGCCTAAATGTGGCTATCGGAAAAAAAATCAACAGAATCTTACCGCATTTTTAGACTGACAATGACTCAAAATGATTTTATTCTAGCATAGTCATTTTATAGATAATAAAACTGAGGTCCTGGGACTAGGTTTTAAGTTCCTGCTTAAGGTCACAGAACCTGTAACTCTAGTCCAGTGTTTTCTACCACCCCATAAAGCCAAAATTATTAAAAGTAGAATTTTTGTCTTGCTTTGAATAATGTCTCACTTCTTATATTCTGGAGACATTTTCAATCTATGGACTCACCTTTCCCATAATATTGTTGTAAAAAATAAAAAAAGCAATAGCAGAAAAGTTTTTAAAATGCATTATGTAGGGGCGCCTGGGTGGCTCAGTCGGTTAAGCGTCTGCCTTCAGCTCAGGTCATGATCCCAGGGTCCTGGGATCGAGCCCCGCATCGGGCTCCCTGCTCAGCGGGAAGCCTGCTTTTCCCTCTCCCCCTCCCCCTGCTTATGTTCCCTCTCTCGCTGTTGTCTCTCTCTGTCAAATAAATAAAATCTTTAAAAAAAAATGCATTATGTAATAATCAAGATGTAATCATATAAAATTCTTTTTTCAAAGTCAGCACATTTAAAGATTGATATGGAAAGTTCTCCTAGGACAGAATGCCATCTGTATCTTTTCAGCTGAAAACAAATATTTTGCCAGCATGGACCAGTGGAAAGAGCTGGGAGTCAGGAAACAGGCTGTAATTCTGCAAACAAGCTGATGAAATTAAATTGGACAAGTCACCTTACCTGGGTCAGGTTTCTCACCTACAAAAGGTGGTTAATAGTATCTGCTCGACATAAAGGTCAAGCTATCATAAAATTAGAATACACATTTTTCAAAGTAAGAAACCTTGAGCAAATGTATTTTAAATGTCTGAATTCTTATGATTTTGAAAAACCTAGACAATAAAATAGGTTTTACTGAAAACTTTTAAACAATTCTTTCTAAATGAAACAAGATTAGAAAGAAATCAGAAGTAAATGAACTTAAAGAAAAAGAAGCTAATGCTTTAGGGGTTTTTTTTGTTGTTTTTTGTTTGTTTGTTTGTTTTTGTTTCTTACCTGAAATTAACTTCCCAGTAGCTTAACTTCACCCTGCTTTGGCCAGCGCTGAGTTCTGGTAACTCTATATATGGACAAGAAACTACCCCCTAATATAATTTAAGTACCAAAAAAAATGGCTGAAAATATTTTGGAAGTTAAGTCTTAATTTTAATAAGATTCTCTAAATTCCCAGAACCTAACCAAAAAAGTTGGTTTAACACCTGTATAATCGCCTGACATGAGAATTTTCTATTTTTTACCTGGCTGATGATATAAGGGTAAAAAGATGGCAATTATAGAATAAAAAGAACCAAGTCTTTATGATTATGATTTCATAATAAGCTAGTTCTCCAGTGTTAAGTTCTTAATAAATAAGTACGAAGAATGATATCCCGACTGAAAAATTCTAATGTAGTTAATTTTTAAAATCTCCTGGCTCTTTAAAAGTCTATAGCCAGCAATATACTGTGTCAAGCATATGGTTATATTTGTATTGCCACAGAAATAGTGAAGAAATTTTTTTGAAATCTGAAACTTTAAAAAATTTTAACAGAGGGACTGCTTTTGAAATTCAGAATTCCTAGAATCCTTGTTACTCAAATGACAAGCCAGTAAATCCTCTGCATGATTTCCAGAAAGGAGTTTCTCAATTAATTTAATTTACAGAAACTAATGAATACCTATTTTCCTGATCTCACTGGGAACTCTACCAGAGTCCCTAAGGCCAGGAGACAACCTCAGACAGCCTGTTCTATACTAAGGCTTATACATAACACATATAGGTGTATCTGAAATCAGACATTCTTAAAAGAGTATAAATAAATTTTCTCTTTCTCCTGCACTCTTGGTGGGAATGCAGGCTGGTGTGTGGCCACTCTGGAAAACAGTATGGTGTTTCCTCAAAAAGTTAAAAATAGAGCTACCCTACAATCCAGCAATTGCACTACTAGGTTATTTACCCTAAGAAGACAAAGGTAGTGATCTGAAGGGGCACCTGCACCCCAATGTTTATAGCAGCATTATCTACAATAGCCAAATTATGGAAATAGCCCAAGTGTTGATCAACTGATGAACAAAGAAGATGTGGTATATATATACAATGGAATATTACTAAGCCATAAAAAGAATGAAATCTTGCCATTCCCAACGACGTGGATGGAGAGTATTATACTAAGAGAACTAAGTCAGAAAAAGACAAATACCATATGACTTCACTCATATGGGGAATTTAAGAGACAAACAAATGAGCATAGGGAAAAAAAGAGAGGCAAACCAAGAAACAGACTCTTTTTTTTTTTTTTTTTTTAAGATTTCATTTATTTATTTGACAGAGACACAGCGAAAGAGCAGGGGGCGTGGGAGAGGGAGAAGCAGGCTTCCCGCTGAGCAGGGAGCCCGATGCGGGGCTCGATCCCAGGACCCCGGGACCATGACCCGAGCCGAAGACAGACGCTCAACGACTGAGCCACCCAGGCGCCCCAAGAAACAGACTCTTAAGTGTAGAGAACAAACTCGTAGTTACCAGAATGGAGGTACATGGGGGGAAATGGGTGAAACAGGTGAAGGGATTAAGAGGACACTTATCTTGATGAGCACGGAGTCATATATGGGCGTGTTGGGTCACTGTATTGTACACCTGAAACTAAGAGGACACTGATGTCAACTAACTGGAATTTAAATAAAAACTTAAAAATTGTCCCTGTTGATCTTATAATGAACAAGTATCATTTTTATAAAAAGAGTCAACATGGAAAATAAATCATCTGAAAGTGAAAGACTGTAGGGTAGACATTTATAGATTTGCTTACCTTGTAGAAGAGATGCAATGAAAGCCGTTGCCACACTGCTGGAGCACAAAAGTATGGAATGGTCAAGATAGTATTTCCCCTCTGGAATCCAGCCCAGTATAATTGCTGCCACAGCCGCTAGAAAACCAACCACTGTCGCTTGAACCTAGAAATTGTTTCAGAAAATCCAACTGAATTATTATTTCAAAAACAGTTTTTACTTGATTATGTAAATATGCATACCAAAAGTCAGAAGAAAGTATTGCATATGGTCATTGAGCTACATCATTACCTTCTGAAGAAGCCACTCTATTTTAGTTTTAATATTCCCTTAAGGCAGTGAGTTCTCAAACTGCCATAATCTGGTGCCAGTGGTTATGGAATGGGGTCCAGGAATCTGTTTTTATCAAGCACCCCAAGTGACTTTGACAGTGTAATCCGCAGATCATCTAAGAAGATACCAACCTTAAGACTGAAAGGTACCCAACCCTTATAACTGAAGTTTGACTCCAGAAGCAGTGCTGGTTAAGAGATTGATTTTATGATCTAATGATAAAAGAGTTTACCTCCTGGCTCTATCATCCAATCTTGTGGCAAGTTATTTAAATTCGTTCATTCAACAAGTATTTGTTGAGAATGTAGGGGCGCCTGGGTGGCTCAGTCAGTTAAGTGGCTGCCTTTGGCTCAGGTCATGATCCTAGGGTCCTGGGATCGAGTCCCGCATCAGGCTCCTTGCTCGGCGGGGAGCCTGCTTCTCCCTCTGCCTGCCGCTCCCCCTGCTTGTACTGTCACTCTCTCTCTCTAGCAAATAAACAAATAAAATCTTTAAAAAAAAAAAAAGGTAACCTCACAAATAACCACAGTCATGATCTGTAAAGTGACAACAGTAATATCGAATTTGAAAATTGAGATTTAAATGAGTTACATAAATATAAAAATGCTTCCCACAGTGCTGGCACAAAGCAACCCAGCAACTAAAGAAAGTAACACTGGGAACTCTTAGAATCCTATTAAGTAGAATGTGAGAACTAAAGAAGCCCTAAGGGAATCTAATTCACAGATTCCTAATTGTGCTTGTGTCCTGGACTCCTCTGACAGTCTGGCAAAAAATTTGTAAAGATTCTTTTCTTTACGAAAACACAAATGCACTCAAGATTTGAGAAGAATTTCTAGGTGCTCACAGACTCTCTGGAGTGTGGTAGAATCCAGAGCCATCTCTGGCTCCCATCCTGACTAACATCTGCAGGGAGGGAGGATGACAAGGGAAGGGTGCAGACGAAGAGTAGAAGGAAAAATTAAAAGCTGGGATGGAAGGTCTTAGAATTATGTGATGAATAATTTACACTACCACTTGTATTACTTGGTAAGAGTTTAGAATATTTAAAGAAGAAAGTGGAATATATTTTCAAATTTTAACTTATATATTAATTTATAGTAACCTACTTGTTGTTAAATATTTTTTACCCCTGAGTAGGTTCCTACAATTTCAAGCTGGAAAGGAACATTGACATCTCTAATGCAATACTGTAATTTAAAAGAAGGGGGCGAAGAAGCCCAGAAAAGTTAAGTAAATTAACAAAGTTTATACAGCTGGTTAATGTTAGAGCTGACATAAAATCCCAGACTTTCTTATTTCTAACCCCATGATCTTAGAAGCAGCTGCACAGATATTTTTTTTTTAAAGATTTTATTTATTTATTTGACAGACAGAGACATAGCAAGAGAGGGAACACAAGCAGGGGGAGTGGGAGAGGGAGAAGCAGGCTTCCTGCCGAGCAGGGAGCCCGATGCGGGGCTCGATCCCAGGACCCTGGGATCATGACCTGAGCCAAAGGCAGACGCTTAACGACTGAGCCACCCAGGCGCCCCCGCACAGATATTTTTTTAAAGCCCATATTCCAAAAATTCTTTTATTTCTATGTCTTTGAAATGCAATACACGAAATTACTTTTCTGCATCCATGTTTCTCAGTATGATGTCCTAATGATGAGCTAACATTAAAATTAGTGAGTGTTCCTTAAGCCCACTTGCTACAGAGTTACTAGGGGGCTACAGTCCTCTGTCTTGGGCATAGCAGGAAGTAGTTAGGGAGGAAGAGACATTCACCTGAGCTCAGAAGGAGCTATAGATAATCTATATATAATCCATGATTTAGTGTATATGTAACTGACAATCTAATGTGCTCATTTATATGAACACTAGTAACATTAACATATTAAGAAAAACTCAGTTTAAATAAACATATGACTATAATATATAAAAGTTTAAAGATTTACTTTAAAAAATTACATTATGTTATGTTAGTCACCATACAATACATCATTAGTTTTTGACGTAGTGATCCATGATTCATTGTTTTCGTATAACACCCAGTGCTCCATGCAGTACGTGCCCCCATCACCAGGCTAACCCAACCCCACACCCTCCTCCCCTCTAAAACTCTCAGTTTGTTTCTTGGAGTCCATAGTCTCTCATGGTTCATCTCTCCCACCGATTTCCCCCCCTTTCATTTTTCCCTTCCTTCTAATGTCCTCCATGCTATTCCTTATGTTCCACAAATAAGTGAAACCATATGATAACTGACTTTCTCTGCCTGACGTAGTTCACTTAGCATAATCTCCTCCAGTCCCATCCATGTTGATGGAAAAGTTGGGTATTCATCCTTCTTGATGGCTGAGTAATATTCCATTGTATATATGGACCACATCTTCTTTATCCATTCATCTGCTGAAGGGCAGATCTCGGCTCTTTCCACAGTTTGGCTATTACGGACATTGCTGCTATGAACACTGGGGTACATATGGCCCTTCTTTTCACTATATCTGTGTCTTTGGGGGTAAATATCCAGTAGTGCAATTGCTGAGTCATAGGGTAGCTCTATTTTTAATTTTTTGAGGCACCTCCACACTGTTTTCCAAAATGGCTGTACCAACTTGCATTCCCACCAACAGTGTAAGAGGGTTCCCCTTTCTCCACAACCTCTCCAACATTTGTTCTTTCTTGCCTTGTCAATTTTTGCCATTCTAACTGGTGTAAGGTGGTATCTCAGTGTGTTTTTGATTTGAATTTCCCTGATAGCTAATGATGATGAACATTTTTTCATGTGTCTGTTAGCCATTTGTGTGTCTTCTTTTGAGAAGTGTCTGTTCATGGGCACTCACCTGCTTTAAAGCCAAGTTGCCAATTATGAGGTTCCACTTTTCAATGGGTGAATCCATCTTCCCAATATTTACCTGTTAAAATAGATACTTTCATCATCTATCACTGACTAATCTGTATGCTTTAACTCTGTTTAAACAAGCAGATGAAGTCTTAAAGCCAAAGATAATTCTTCAGTAAATCTGATGAACTCACATTGTACCTTAAAAATAATTCTAAATTCACTACCAGTCTTGTATCTCACATTTATCCTGCCCAAGATATTTAGAAAAATATATTTTTTAATTTAATTACTAGCTCACAAGAACTAGTGGACTAATTAGTACACTGTTTACAATTAACATCATCAAATGTTATCCTAACATGCCAAATTTTGTGTACTGAGGCCCAATATAAATAATTACATAATTTTGAGCAGCTAGCATTCTATTCCATATTATGAAACTAATGTAATTTAAAGAATTAGTGACCAGAAAACCCAGGATTAAACAAATCATTTATATGTACATAATTTATATTTGAGTCAAGACTAAAACTGTTAGCAATAAAAAATTCATTCAGTTCACATAAAGTCTGATCATGTACCTCACTATTAAAATTTATATCTTTCTGCTAAATGGAAGAATACTCTCTGAAAAATTATTATTCAATTGCTCTATTAGCAAAATCCTTACTTTTCCACCATTTAGGATTCAAAACATGTATATCCAAATCTGTCATTTTTCTAATGCAATCATTTGGAAAGCAGTGAACAATCTTTATTAATAAAAAACATACTGAGCTGGGTTTCAATTATTCATCATCTGCTTGGTCATGGAAGATAGGTGAATGGGTAAAGTGGGAGATACATAAGGGTTGTTATTTGTGGGTAGTTCATGGACAGACTAGAGTTTAGCTCACTGGCTTCAGGCCAGCAGATTAAGTGCTTGGTCAACATTTCTACTATCAGTTTGGAAAACAGAATTCTCAAACCTCCCTCTGGGCTCTAGTCTGAAAGTACCCAGCAATGCAAATATTAAGATTTCTCAGTTTTTCAGTATAATTATTCATGCTGGCTTTATTTGCAGATTTCTTCCCTAAGCCTGGAAATCTACATTATTCATGAAATTTGTGTTTGTAGCTCTAACAACCTGGGTCTTTGCTTCAGTGAGTAATAAGGTACAAGCAATGTTTACAGAGTGCATCTACTTCAGGCTTAGTGTTCAAGAAATAGGCATGAGAGAAATTAGTGTTATCAACTTTTAGAAAGAGGTCTATAGGTATAGGAAGCAATCTAACATGATTCCATGAAAAAGTAAAAGATGACAAGACTCCAGAATTGCTCGATGATCAGTAGAGGTGGATCATACATATACTAAGGTCTAGAAGAAAGTCAAGAAAGGTGAGTCACAGAATGAATGAATGCTATGTGTTAGGTATGCTATGGTGCCAGATTCACGTGGTACCATCGCCACCAGTCCCTTCTAAATCTGGAACTACCTTCCTCAAAATCCTCTTTCTTAGAGATGCAGGTTACAATCTGCCAATGACAGGAACTTGCCTAAGATTTGGAAGGCAGAAGCGAAGGTGAGGCCACTATTTCTGTAAGGTCTTGGTAGTCAGACATAGTAGGCATCCAGAGGTCTACACTGCAATGCACCCATGGCTTTCTTCCCCTGCTCCAGTGCTTCAGGCTATTTCTCTGACTCTCCCATCACAGATCGTTACTTCTCCCACATTTGTGTAAGCCCAAATTGTTCTATTAAATTCCTTATTGCCACAATATATACCATGGCAGTTCTACTGACCAAACCCATACTGATAGAACAATGTCACACTATTCAATTAATCTGTTTAATAATTGATGACGATCACAATTTCTAAGTCCCTTCCAGATCTCTAAGTCTCTGAATCTAGAGTCTTTTTAGTCTAGCATGAATAATATATAGCAAGCTAATGTATGATGTGAAATAAAATATATTTCACACTTATGAAATATAATTGATGGTGTGAAATCACAATGTATTATGCGAAATAAACACAAAGTGGAGTATATTCACAAATAATAATCACTTTTTTTATAAAGCAAAGATTTTTAGAAGCAAGGATTTTAAAAAGAAAAGAGAAATGTTGATCCAAATTTAACCACTTAGGGAAAATACTTATGGTATAGGCATGCATTGGGGGTGGAAGTGGGAATTTGGCATGATACAGAAAATTAACCTTTGTTGCCTTCATATTGTCAAAACTGAACCAAAAATCGGGCTGACCTACTATATTGTCCTGTGGCCTAGGATTAATATGAACCATCTAAATTTTTCCAGAGTAGAGAGGAAGAAGAGTGTTCTGCCTAAAGGCCTTTGCTAAACCTACTTTTATTAGATTAACTGCCCTGATGGTACTCAGCTAGGAAAAACTAAGAACTTGGAAGGTGACAAAGTATAGTGGGATATGATCTGATAAAGACTTCTACATAACCCAGATTAATTAATTTATTTTAAAGTACTAGAAAAATAGACCAATATTTTTGCAAAGACACTAGCTAGTTTTAAAGGAAAGAGTAGAGCTGAGGTGGTCAGAGCCTGAAGATGTGTTGTTTTGGCCAACACAGTGGTTTTAATTTTTTGAATCTAAATGTCTTAGGTTGAGTCTGTAGTCTCTACTTTTTATAATCTCTACACCCCTCTTCTTCATAGATGTATATGTTACTTATCTGACCCTGAAGTACATGAGTTATGGATAGGCTTTAAGATTTATTGGGACTAAAGATAGAAGTGGGTTGGAATGACCTTGAAATTATAGATTTACAAATACTATAGTTGATTTTGGAAAAATACATTTAATATGTAAATAGTTGAAACAAGGCTACTGAAAGTCTCCATTTAAGTATTAGTCTTAAATATATATATATATATATATATATACACACACATACATATATATATATAGGCACCTGGGTGGCTCAGTTGCTTAAGCGTCTGCCTTTGGCTCGGGTCATGATCCCAGGGTCCTGGGATAGGCCTGCATTGGGCTCCCTGCTCAGCAGGCAGTCTGCTTCTCCCTCTCCCCTTGCCCCTCCCCCTCTGCTTGTGCTCTCTCTCTAATAAATAAAATCTTTAAAAAAATATATATATTAGGGACACCTGGGTGGCTCAGTCGTTAAACGTCTGCCTTCGGCTCAGGTCATGATCCCATGGTCCTGGGATTGAGTCCTGCATTGGGCTCCCTGCTCCGCGGGAAGCCTGCTTCTCCCTCTCCCTCTCCCCCTGCTTGTGTTCCTGCTCTCGCTATCTCTCTCTCTCTGTCAAATAAATAAATAAAATCTTAAAAAATACATATAGATATATATATATATTAAATATGTGCTCCCCCAAAAAGGGTATATAAAAAAATAAACCTGAATGTTAACCATTGTTATTTCTGAATGACGGGCTTGTGGATAATTTTTATTTTCTTCTTTGTTCATTAGTGAATTTTTCAAAATTTCATTGCTGAACATGTACTGCTATAATCAAAAATTTTATTTAAAAACACATATTGGTAAATTTAAAAGTCTGGCAACTAGGAAAGGAAATAATCACAGCTTTTTGTCTATGATTTCTTTCTTAAGATTCCCTATCTGGTCACTCTTTAATACATACATTTGTTTAATTCTTTGAACATTTTTTCCTTTAGTTCTTTGAACATATTTACACTAGACGCTTTGAAAGATTCTGCTAAATCCAACATCTGGGCCTACTTTGAGTCACTTTCCATTGACTGAATATGAATCTCACTTTTCCTAAATATGAATCACTTTTGTGAAGTGATATGATACACTTTTGAAATATGAAACACTTTTGTGTTTCTTCCTACGTCTAATGATTTTTGGTTAAAAAACTAGACAGTGTAATAATGTGTTACAATGATTCCAATAATGGGGACACCTGGGTGGCTCAGTCGTTAAGCATCTGCCTTCGGCTCGGGTCATGATCCCAGGGTCCTGGGATCAAGCCCTGCGTCGGGCTCCCTGCTCCGCGGGAAGCCTGCTTCTCTCTCTCCCTCTCCCCCTGCTTGTGTTCTTGCTCTCGCCATCTCTCTCTCTCTGTCAAATAAATAATAAAATCTTAAAAAAAAAAAAACAATGATTCTGATAGGTTATGTTCTTCTAAGCATTACTGGATTTCCCTTCTAGTCCCTGAGTCTAGTTTGCCTAGACTCAGACTACAGACTCTTGTCTCTCTCACAGTGTAGAGCAGCTCATATCTTTGCTTTTAGCAAAGCTGGTGCTTTCAGCTACCAACTATTGCTTTTTAGCTCAGCCGTTTGGGGATCATCCCTGCACCTATGCAGTTTAATGGTCAGCCAAAGATCTGAGCAGAACTTATACCCAGATTCTGGGGCTCATGCTTTCTACTGTTCTCTTACTGTTGGGATTTCTCCATAAATTTCTACCTGTTCTGTCACCTCCAAGCTCTGTTATCTAATAATTCAAGACAATAAAACTTCCATTTTCTGCCACTATAACTATGTACAAGTCACAAAAGGCATTTGGTCAAAAAAAAAAAAAGAGCAAAAAACTCACAAATCTTAGCCAGTGTATTTGTTTTTCAAGTATAGGCCCCTCTCATGTTTCTGTCTAGTTGTTTTTTTGTTTTGTTTTTTTGTGTTTTGGCTTTATTTTTTGTCAGACTCCCTGACCTCTGTCACCTCAAACTGGCAAGACTGTGGGTTTTCTGCCACATGAGATCCAAGGACTGGGGAAACTCCCTCAGGCAAAAAAGCTACAAACGGCAATTCTTACCCATTGTAGACATGGTCTTTTAAGGGTGAACTCAGTTTCTACCTGTTTTTGATCACTTTCCATTGCCTTCAGTTTGTCTAGGTTCTCTAATTGTTAATCTCTGGAAAGGTTCACTCATTACTTCATTTTGCCATTAACTGGAATTAGAAACCTTATTATATATTTTTTACATGCTTGAAATATTTTTATAAAACATAATATGGCAAAATACACACATACATACATGCATACACATGCTCTAATGTCTTTCTGAATGTGCGGGGCTGATGCCTATGCTCATCATCTTGATTGCAGTAGAGGTTTCACATGTAC